ACGAGCACAAGTTGTCACCCGACATAACTGCCAAGTGCACCGTACACTTCAAGCACAACAGGGACTACACGGCGCACCGGTTAAAGCACCATTATGAAAATCAGCGGTGGTAGGGAAAGACGAGACTGCTGGCTCTGGCCTGGCGGTCTAAAATACCTACTGAAAAGACGCGCCGTCGATTTGCTCTTCGACCAACTTTTACGCTATAATAGGACTGGCGGACGCACGATGTGTTTTGGAGACGATTCACTGTTGCCCGGTCGGAGTTTTGGAAAAAAATTTAAAACCATCATAACAAGGGTTGTTACTTGTTGGCGGCTTTTCACCGATGGAGGGACAAGTGCGACATCGAGATGGTCGATGAATATATGACCACTCAGTCATGTTCACGCTGCTACGATAAAATGCCATTACCACCAAAACATAAGAGAAGGGCGGACAAAGACGTCACGCTCACCGGTTCCAGGCTTCCAGCTTTGCCGAAAGTGTGGGATCACATAGAACCGGGACGTCAACGCCGCCCGAAATATGATTTGTGTTTGTAATAAGTTTATTGATTATCGTCAAAACTATAATTATAACAATGTACCTATAACAATCGCCGGACGAGGTAACGTCGTTTGTCTGGCGGATTCGCGTTTATGACAAATGACAATGAATGCATTATCGTAAGTCGTAACTCCGAGGCCCGAGGGGCACGGTGGGACATATTGTGACCTATCGATGCTCAGCAGCATTGCAGCAAAGAGTTAAGCAGTGCCGTAACTAGGCTACTTGAGGCCTGTGTGCAAACCAAAATATTGAGGCCCCTTATTATCTTTTTCAATACACAACTCAAAAACTTTTTTTGCAATTTTTAAAGTCAGCAGACAAAAAAACCGGTCGACAATTCTGCCGATTTTTTTGTATTCAGAAGGGCCAGTTCTATAGACCATAAAAAAATTAGGTTGTACAATAAATAAATTAACAATACAATTCAGCCTAATTGAAAATATAATTTATTGTGATTTAAATAGGTAAGTTGGGAATTTCAATCTTGAAGTGGTTGAAAAATTGCAATATTTTATGGATATGGCAGAGCTTGCAAACGTTATAATAACATTATGATTATTGATTATAACGTTTTATTTTTTACAAAAAAACGATACATGTTTGTAAACGTAATTATAACGGAATGCGATAATCAAAAATAATTAAATACAGCATAACAAAATATATAAAACGGTTTTAAATTCTTAAACTACATAGCGCTAGCGTTTTAACTTTCAAAACGGTTTGAGTATAAACCGTTTTAACGCCATCATATAAACCTAGTAATTTACTAGGTTAAAAAATAAATAATAAATAATTTATATATTTTAATAATTTTATATTAGTTTAATATTAGTCTTTAGATCTTCTGAGGCCCTTCGATATATTATGGGGCCCGAGGCCTGTGTGTGGTACACACTCTGCACACCCGGTTTTTACGGCACTGTATAAAACGCAATATAGGTACACCCCAACACATACACAAAAAACAATAATTGTAAAATCGCAATACGCATTGGTCGCGTTCCGTTCTGAATCTAAAAATCTTATAGGTACCTACAAAAGTATAAAGCGAGTATATATAATATATATACGACAGTATAGTAATATAATGCAGATCGACATATAAATCCTCGTTAAAATATTATAATACAATTATTATAGTGTACCTCTGCGTAAGTATATACAGTTAGAGTCGGTATACCAATAATAGTCGTAATAATGGCATTTGGAAAAATTAACGGGCCCGAAATCCAGCTGATGCCGGCCGTCAATTAATATAATAATATGCTGGCTACTAATAAACGATGTTTGTTTAAAATCATCGTCGACGGCCCAGGAATAAATACCGAAATCGGCACATTTGCAACTCTGAGCTCATCTGAGTATATAATCTGACCTAACCTTACGCGGACAAAAAAAAAACCTGAACGAAAAAATGGCTGCATCGCATATCGAAGAAAAGGAAATGGAAACAACTATCATGCAAATCTTGGGAAAAATAATAAGCAACGTCGAGTACGAGATTATGGAAGAAGAACTTAAACGAATAGACGACATCGACCAAGAGCCTACCATCGGAGACCTGGAAGGACTTTTATCGTATGCGACGCGCTTCGCGGGGGACGACTACGTCCCGTCCAACGTCTTTCAACCGGTCGACAAATCTGACAAAATGGCAGAACCGGTTGAACCGATCGTTGAAGTGGTCGCGCCTCCGGTGCAGGAAGCCGCGAAAAAGGAGCTGGATGGCGAGGCGGTGGGCGCCACACCGGCCAGAGGACTGGAAGTCAGAAATAGTATCGGGATCTTGATTGGTTGGCTGGACCCGGGGGTCAAGGCAGAAACACGCGCAGCTCCGCGCAGTGCAACGGCGAGACTGGTGTCCTCTGCGTGGAGAGGCCTGACGAGAGCCGCACGCGTGTTGCGCTGTTGTTGTCCCCCGAAGTGAAACCGTCCAAAAGTTTCCCCCCTGGCCGAGGGCAGCGGACAAGACGAGGCGACGTGTGGGGTTTCGAGGTAATAGGTACGCGGCAGTGCACATTCAGGTGGTGACCGGCGGTAAGTCGCCGATACACGTTCTCCGGCCATCCTGCGGCAGCGCGACGGGATCGCGGACGTTGCGAGCTCGAGGTCGCCGAGACACGCGAGACCCTCTGGCGGCGCGGCGGGCGCCCGGCTGCTTCGGTCCGGGAGCGACGACGACACGACGACGACGGAGGTTAGCGGTACCGGCGCGGACAACGACGCCGTCCCCGACACGGTACCTGCTCAGTGACGAACGCTGCAGTGCTGCGCGACTCGCGTGACGGCGGCGACGGAGACCTCAGAGCTCACGGCGGGTGAGTGACGGATGACTATGATTACAGGGTATAGCTAGGAACGCCACGGACGTCAGCAGCGCCGGGCTCGAGGAAACGAAACGTTTCGTCGGGTTCGACGGTGCGCGGCTCCGTGGCCATCGGCTGCGGCAGACGGAGACGCCAGGGCGAAAATCACGGAGACTATCAGGACAGCGGCGCGTCGTCGCGAAGCTGTCTGCAGATTTTCTCCCTTTTTCGCCCAGTGGTCCGATCCCGAGTCGCAACGCCGCCGATTCCGCAGCTGCACCGAGATCGTAGTCGCCAGCTCGCCTCTCCGAGCTTTGCAGGTCACCGTCGTTGCCGGCACAAGCAGTCGTCTTCAGCACCCGCAGTACCGTCAAGCAGCGCACGACATCGCGCACTAGCCTCTCGTCGCCAATCGTCGTCGCTCTCGCAGCCGTCGTGGCCGGGCTTCGTCCGCTGCCATGGTCGTCTTGGCGGTCTCGAGCAAACTCGCCCGCGACTCTCGTCCGCCCCGCAGGACAGCCCGTGAGAACGTTGTAGAGGTGACCAGTGGCCATATACCAGTTACCAATACATCATCAGCACCACCAACTCGCCACCACGTACCCCCCCACATCGCGTCGTCTTGACCGATGCCTTTTTTTTTTTGTATTTAAATTTTCTTTACTTATATCGAATAATATTCACTTTACAAATTTCGGCTTTTTCTTTTTTGTTCTAACTTTTTTTTGAACATACAAAATTGTATAATAATATAACGGCAACCGTTTCCAAAATTGTTTCCGTTTTTGAAATTATATTCAAAATTAAAAAATGTTATATTGTTTTTGTTCGATAATTAAAAATAAATTTGTGAACACAAAAAACTATTGTTGCTTTTTTCGTATTGTCGAGTGTGTAAGTCAATTTTTACAATATAATAAAATATTGACTTTAGTTGTAATAATATTCTAAACTGAACAAATCTTGTAACAGATATCTATTACTGTACTCAGTGCCGTAACTAGGCTACTTGAGGCCTGTGTGCAAAACCAAAATATTGAGGCCCCTTATTATCTTTTTCAATACACACCTCAAAAACTTTTTTTGCAATTTTTAAAGTCAGCAGACAAAAATTCGGGCTTAAACAAAAAAAAAATGTTTAATTTAAAATAATCTATAATTTTAAAACAATTTCTCAAGGCTATAACTAACTCAAAAAAGTAAAAATTGTCCAAAATGTAATTTATTGAAAATATTAATATAAATATTTGGTGAAAACTTCAATGGTCTACGGTTATTAGTTTTCGAGTTACACCAAAAAATAAAATTTTTAGTTTTAGGTAAAAATGACAATTTTTTTTTTTTTTATTGACACTTTTTAATATCTAAAACTAAAAATTTCGGTTTCGATATCCAAAAAGTACCAACTAGATTCACTTTTCTAACAGAAAAAATGCTGATCTCGAAATTCGGAATATTTTTACTACCCATTGTTGATGACCGACAGAAATGAAAAAAATTATACACATCTTGTAAAATCAATACATTTGTTCGTTCCTCTCAATTGGTTTGAAACATTGGTTTCGTTTCCAAATCAATAATAAATAATTTATATATTTTAATAATTTTATATTAGTTTAATATTAGTATTTGGATCTTTTGAGGCCCTTCGATATATTATGAGGCCCGAGGCCTGTGTGCGGTGCACACTTTGCACACCCGGTTTTTACGGCACTGGAGTTAAGTGAGTACTGAGTAGTGACCATGAACCACGGACTAAGATAATCTTTTATGGTAGTGACTTGATATTCTGTTATCATTTTAAATCTGTTTCTTGATAACATTTTATCATTTATCACCGGTATTAATTATTTATATTTTATTCATGAAAGTTTTTTAACTCCATAACTGCATTTAAAATTTAAAAATGTTCTGTATGTCTTTAATATGATTTATTAACTTTACACTTCAAACTATTAACAACTAACTTGTAAGTAATAAGTAACTGAATAATATTGATCAATTTTAAAAATGATCATTTTAATATTATAATACAATATTATACAATCATACATTAATTGTACATATAGTGACGAATTAATATAGTCTCAATTGTACAAAATTATAGGCTATAGCTATAATATAAGGTAAACAAATATAATGGAAAGTTTAATTCCTGATATATTATTTACTCTACTTGGCCACAAATCAGAAATATTACAGTGTATTGTCGACAATGACAGCAATTTCACAGATGATGAGTATATAATTTTGAACACTGAAGACAAGCGGCTGTTGAAGTGTTTCTTACATTTGGCCGAAGAATATCAGAAACTTAACACCGTTATTGTATCATTTAACCGATTGCAGAGTATTTACAAAGAGTCAGAATCAAACAGACAGGGTTTGTACTTTGAAGCTTTTGTCAATGGTATGTTAATCGCCTTGAAACCATATCGCGACTGTATAAATGAAATTGAAAAAAATTTATCCAATAACAAAGAAAATAAATGTTTATTGACCGAAACATTGAGGAAAGTTGAACAACATAAACCATTGATTGTGGCAGTTAATAATATTTTAGATCAAATAGAACTTTCTCAGTTACATGGCGGACAAATATTGAATCTTGTATACGAAGTAGTCTGTATGGAATTTTTGGACAACAAAGTTCAATTATCACTCATATTCAACCAATGTTTACAGGTAATATTATAGGCATCTATATTATAAATTTATAACGGTATAGAAATATTAATCTACATACCTACCTAATTTATCTTATACTTATCTATCCTTTTATTTTTCAATTTTTATGAAAATATTTACAATCTGTATAAGGTAAACTTAATATAAATATTGTTTAAAAATAATGATACACAAAAAGAACTTGATTTGAAGGGGTTATAAATCCGTAATTGTACAAGCTATAAAATTTAAAAAGGGTCATAATTTATAAAAATGCATATATTTTCCAAAAAAACATGTATAATTCCTGTTCTACGAAGGTTAAAGTAACAACCTTAGTGTACGCAACTCAGCCTGTGGCCTTTTAATTGTGCAACTCATTTTTTAACGCTATTAGAAGCGGAGTTTAGTCTCCTTATTCTAGTCTTCATACCGAAGGATTTTGTTTTTATATGGTTTAAGTATGTTTAAGTTTTGACTCTTTTGTCATGGTTTATACTAAGTATCTGGTAACTAATTGTTGAGGAATTATGTGATTGTTATATGAAATTAGAGGGTTGGTAATGGGAGGCAGGTGATAAATTATATGGGCTGATTTGCTTGCATTTATCGTATTTCTCCTAAGACTGAACCAGTTTTTTAGTTCCTTTAGGTGAGTTTGAAGTAACTCTAGGCTTGAATTAGGTTAACATAAGTTGAGACTTGAGATGAAGCCAGCAAAGGCAAAATGGTATTATCTGAGTGGGGAATAACATAGGAAAATAGGTTGTATAAAGTTGGAGCTAAAATGTTACCCTGTGGGCCACATGCTTTTAAGTAATGGAGATGGGACAGTTAAACTTCTCAGTATACGTAAAACAATTGTTTGATTAAATAGTATGATTATAAGAAATAATGGAACAGGAAGGAAACACATTTTGTGATGAAGGCCCAATGATCATGCCAAACACGGTTTAACGCTTGAGTGAAGTCAAGGAACAAGGAACATCTGTATAGTACTGCTTATATTAGTTAAAATTTAAAATTTTTTAAATATTTCACAATTTAAAATTATAATTGAACTAAGATGTAAATAATTTAATATCCCCATTTGTTATTGAACTTTTTTTTTTAAGAGATTTCATTTATTATAGGTGTTAATATCGCAGTTGAACACATTTTTCGCACACGGAGTGATTTTTGATCCTCACAATGAGTTCTTCATTGAATCCAAATATTCTAAAAGCAGTAAAAACTTTAAACAGTTTTCTTTATTACCCAGTTTAATGCCATCTTTTGTTCCTCTTTCAACTGCAAGCAAAATAACAAGAATTGGTGATGTAATAAAAAGTTTGCAACATTCAAATGACCAATCGTCATTGATAAACTACAAAGATATTTCTATACAGTTGTATGGACACAAAAGAGATGAACTGTTTTCTGATTTACTAAATTTAGTGAACGTGCCCTTGTTTACTAAAAATGAATTTGTCAAAGTAATTGACAAGTTTTATAATGTTGTGGATGAATATATGTTAAAAGCATCTTTTAATAATGATAGTTTTTCTTATCATATGAAATTGGTAAGAGATTTTTATTTGCTGGGTAATGGAGAGTTTTATAAGCACTTTTTAAATAAAATGTGCAGTTTATCTCTGAAATCTGAGCATAGTTTACGTGCTGTTAAGGTGGCATTTATTAATACAGCTCAAGATATCAAAATGCACAAATCTGTGAATCAAGTGTTTGGTTTCAGTTCATTAGAAGATGAAGAAGCTGATGAAATGACGTGGACTAAGATTAAAGTCACTTTTGAAACCAAATGGCCACTACAATTTATATTTACAAGCTCTGTTCAAAAAAATTATTCAAAATTATTTGCATTTTTATCACGGATTAAAAGAGTGCAAACAAATTTGCACAACGTTTGGATTGAAAAAAAATCAAAATCTTATGAAATAAATGCTAATAATGTCCAGCTGAAAACTCAATTATCGTTCTTAATTGATACTCTTTACAGTTACCTTCAGTTGGATGTCATCGAAGATGAATATTTTCTTCTCTTGGAGAAATTAACCACTGCCAATGATTTTCAAACTATCAAGCACATACACGACATATTCCAGACAAATATCATGAGGGATTCTTTTTTGTTCATGGAAGAAGTTTACTTGGGCTTTAATAGAATTTTAGATATGTGCGAAAACTATTGCAGGTATATGACTGACATTACGGCCGCATTAAATCCACAATATAAACAGTGTTTTGAAGAATTAAATTTACTTTTTACCAAAAAACCAAATAAATTAGTCACATTGATAAATATAATCAGAGAAATCCATGTTACTCCAAAACCAAATCAATTTATTCTTAGGTTAAATTATAATAACTGGTTTCTTCAAGCAATATCTAGTGATGGCTAAAAATAAAGTGTCTACCTTTTAATTTTACAATCACAAAGAGATAATATTTTTGGAGATTAAGAAATGTCATAAAAATTGTAAATACTAAATTGTAATGTCATTAACATATAATTTCGATTAAAAAATATTTTGTTTATATTTTATATGCAGATACTTGAGTATATATTGTTTATTAAAAACAATTAATATAAATATGTCTTAATCACACATAAAAAACTATAAATGTATTAAGTCTAGCGGTTTATTATGTATCAATAATTGTATTAAAATATTCTACAATATTCTTTTTTTTTTAAATCAGTTGTTTGTATATAATAAACTAATTTATAAACACAGAAATTGCATTTTTAATTACCTGGTGTCATATAATATTAAATATTATTAATTTACTTAGAAAAAAAAAAAAGAAAAGTATATTAATTTAAATTTAATACAATTTAAAAGTTTAAAACCAGTTACATACTAGGGATTATTGATATAATATACAATTAATGATACCATATCTAACTTCTGTGCGATCTATTGGCAGCTCTCATTGCTTTTTCCAATTCAAATTGTCGTAAATCTGTCCGTTCCAAAAAGTCTTGCTTTTCTAAGTACCTAAAATAAAATGATTACCCATTAAATAATATTTCTACATTTTTACAATAAATAAAAAATGTAAGCACCAACCCATCTTTTCCTTTATTGTGTGTGACTAATTCTTCAACAATTCCTTCCTTTTTTTTGTAACCATCCCAATCTAGTTTGGATTTTTCTAAAACCGTCAGTTTACTTTTTTTTCCTATTTGACTCAATATATTTGCTAAACCGCCTGATGGTTTTGTAGCGATAGAGGCTACCGCACTTTTAGTTTCTGGAGACTTAGGTGTAGTTGTATTGTCATCATTATTCTCCATTCTGAAAAATAAAAACATTTAAAAAAAAATAATCATAATATAATTAATTAAATATTTTTAGTAACTAAAGAATGATTTTATATTTTTCATAAATGTATTATGGTTTATAATTTGACTATCCACAATTAAATAATACAACTTTATTTTACATTCTTTCTTAATTTAATCTTTTAAATAAACCAAGTATATCAACCAGGTATTAATAAATTTACCTAGAGATAAATATTTTATAAGTTGAACTTATACCTTAGGCGCACAAAAATAAAAACTTGTAAACATCTTAAATGTAAGTAATCAGATGAAGCTTTAATAATTATTAATTAATTATTACACTCATTATATTTAAAAACTGATACATATACATTATTCGATTAATATGCCATATACATATTATAGCATGATAATACCTTAGTTAAGTCACAAATTTCTATTTATCATGATAACATTAATAATTATAATAGAGCAGAGGTATTCAAACTTTATCATTTCACAGCTCCTTCGCCTTCACAACATATTGGAGACTCTAATTATTAACTTTTTCACTGCTACACTATTTATGCTCTGCAACTAGCATATGCTACGTAAAATAAAATATTAAAATTATTTAATAGAGATCTATATTATGATCTAATAATTTATGTTTGAAATAATAATAATGTGAGCCAAGTTCTCTTAAAATTGTACCGGCAAATAATAATATTATAAAAATACAGGAATGTAATAATACGCCTGGAACAGTGAAAGGGTTAAAAATAGGAGGACAATTATATATTAAATATAATTTAAACAATTTAAATTAAATGTTGTACATTTAGAATAAAATAATATATTAATCATTATTTTTTTTCCTCTCCTATCCTACAACTTCCTTAAGAGAACGTAACACTGGTATTTGTTGTCTCCGTCTTACAAGCGCGTAACAGCAAATTTAAGCTGAGCAGAACATATTGTGTAGCTTTGTTAATTTAAAAATTAGAGTGAATTGACCTATTATGAAACTTGACGGTAAGAATATTATCTGTGTTTGTATGTTGGGTTTTTTACTATATTTAAATTTTTTATAAAATTATGCGTATGGAATATTGGAATATACCTACTATAAATTAAAAATGCTCATAACTCACTTAAAAACTGAATTATCGTAAAACCAACATGCCAACACAGATAATGTTCTTACCATCAAGTTTCATAATAGGTCAATTCACTCTAATGTTTAAACTAACAAAGCTACAACTGTTCTGCTGAGCATAAATTTGCTATGTTACGCACTGGTAAGACGGAGACAACATATACCAGTGTTACATCCTCTTAATAAATACTCATGACACCCATTAGAGCCGCTAAGCACAGTTTGAATACCTCTGAGTTATAGTATTTTTACAGTATTTGACAAACAAAGATATTAAGTATATTGTGTAGGAAAATGTGATGTTATTTTTTGATGTACTAAAGTACTCATAAATGTGGATAGAAAAAAATCATAATTCTTCGTTTAGAAGCTTAATTTAAACTATAGTTGGGGGCTCGAAAAATTAGAGCTGCCAGTCATGCGCCAAGTAGAATTTTTGGATGGTGTTATCCAAATCATAAATTCATAAATATTTTTAAATTATTAAATTATGTATAATATGTGTTATTTAATTTTAATTTTTTAGATTCTGAGCGGAGTGAGGAAGCTAGTGGTTTTACAATGGTGTTTATTTTTATTTTTATCCTGTATAAAAAATTTCTTCCAGAAGGAGTGCTTCAATTTCAACATATAGTACCTTATATTTTAGCAAATTGGATCAAGATAGTACTTTAGATAAGTTATGTTTTGATTTTCTCAATAGTTATTTAATGTCACGGGAAAAATTCCGAAAAACCTCTAAAAATTGGATTTTAATTTTGCTTTGTTTATCACCATAATAAAATTATAATATTAATTCAACTTACAGGCTATAACAAATAATAATATAAAAAATCCAGACTGACAAACTGTCTTTGTTCAGAATCGTTTTTCTTATGCAATGATATATCATTGAATTCATGTTTAATACAATTCATTATACATTGACCTTCTTGTAACCTACTGTACAGTAGAGCAACATCCACTTTCCCGCTTTTTTTTATATTGTAAGCCTACCTTTTTTTTTATAATTGATTTATTTTATAATACTAGATAAAATAAATTAAAGTAGCGAAAGCACAAACTACAGGCCATAGTGTCCAGCCTTCATTTTTCGAGCCTATGTAGATACCTGATAACTTTTTTTAAATATACGTTATAAAGAGTTATTAAGTTACAGTAATTCAATTTAGTTAAAAGGTTGAATAATAAAAAATATATATGTATTTACTTTTTAGATGATTCAGAAATGTCAAATAATGCTTCAAAGTTCCTTTTTTTGGTTGTTTCTGGTTTATCAGAAACTTTTATGGATTCTTTTGATTTAGATTTATTTTCACTGGTAATAGGTGTATTGGAAGACTTTTTTGTTATAGGTCGTTGAAATTCTAAAAGTAAAACAGAAATTAGTTCAAATATGTTACTCTAAACCCTATATTTTATAAATTATTATTTTTTTACTAATAATTAATTAAATCTTAAAATACTAAATAATAATATAAAATTAATTAATACCTTCCCACAAAGCATCCAAACGTTTTTTATCATCTTCAGAGGAATTAAGAAGAGTATTTACTTCTTCTTTTGTTTTTTCAATAGCTTCATCATCAATTACTCTGTAAAAGTAAACAAAATAAACAAGATTTAATATTTTATACCTAACAATTAAGTATTACATTTTTTTAGATTTCTTTAGTGAGCCTCTTTTTCCAATCTTAGTTCGTTTCTTATTAGTTCTCTTTGATTTTTTAGCAGATGTACTGACGCTATCCTCATCATCTTCAATTGGATCATCTGAATCAACTTCTGATAATTTTTCATCTTCACCTAGTGTTAATACAAATCAAAGTTTTATGAATCAGAATATATAAATAAAAAAATGATTACCTAAAACATAAGAATAAACAGTTAAAATCGAAATATTTAATTTTTAAAACTGAATCATATATTTTAATGATAAAATATAGTATTATGTTTGTTAGTCCTTAGAAATGCATCATAATAAAATTCATAATCAATACATTCAAAGACTAATTTTCTTTATAATAGACCAAACATTAGGTATGTACTGTGATTGAATTAATTGTATATACATTTTAACAATAATAAACGGATTTTAATAACTAGTTAGAATTCTAAAATGTAATTTCATTAAGATGTTAATAACTAATACCTGGTGGTTTATAGTCAGAATCATTTTCATCGCTGCTGTCGGAATAATCTTGAGAATCCATTATGTAATTACAATGTTGTCGTCTATCAGGTTGAGCAGTTCAATTAAATGTTATTGAATAACAAAATATTAGAATATTAAAATAAATACAGAATGGGTATTGATTACTTATAGTGGTAGACGGTAGTAGTAATTAGTTACTAGTTAGTGATTTAGGTTCTCAATTTTCATAGCATGAACCCAAGATTGACTACCCAGTAGCCCTTGTCAGAGCCAGTGCATAGCTAACTGCCGAGTGCTGAACTGCTGAACCACTACGATTTAAGATAGTGCTATCTTAAACCGCGTACCGAACCAAGGTTTATATAATCTATTAACCTTGCTACCGAACCATGTTACTATCTATTTCGTGGTTTCGGATTTTGTTATAAAAATATTATATCGTTATCATTAAAAAAACAAAAAATGAATGATAAACACGGCTGGTATCTATAACCGTGATGTATGATGATAGGAAAAAAAATTAGAAAACGACTAACGAGTCGATGGAGTTTCGAATTACTTTAATACTTTCAATTATAAAGTTTGGATTAAGTTAAATTAAACTTTAAACATATAGCTGGGGTTTTAACAATATTGTTATACGCACGAATAAAATTTAATAATTCATTCATAGTTATTCGACTGTTTGGAAAATAACAGTACAAGACATTCAATAACAACTTTATAATTTGTTAACTAGTAAACTACCTAAACTAAACTATTAAATGGTTTGAAAGCTTTTTTTTCTTTGTTCTAACGAAACATTGTATTTGGAAAAATGATGCCACTCAACGATTTCAAGAATCCTGAACTTGTTCCAATCTCCAATGTTATTGGTATGGCATCTCAGCGACCCCTTAGTACATTTCCTGGTAATCCATTAAAAAACGTAAATTAATTTCATCAATATAAACCAATGTTAATTTTTTTGTTAACATTTTTCAGAAATGTGGTATCAAACTTTTTTATGGGCATTATTCTCATCTGCTATTGTCCATACTGTAGCGGCGATAATTGCTTTCGCTACACTCCATAAACATAATTTTGGAAAGTAAGATAATATTTTGATTTAATTTTAGTTTGTTCTAAAAATGTATGTCTATTTAAGGATGACTGTTCCTCCAAACCTACTTCCTGGCAATGACATCCATATAACATTTGATTTGATAGTTTCATAGTTGGTATCACACTTGGGGGGGGGGAATGAGTGGTGGTTTTTTAATTTGACCATTAAGGCCGTGCTAAGGTAGAGGGGCAAATGAAAAAATTGTCTTAGAACTCTGATTTTTTATGCTACAATATGTACCTATGTTGATTAGGATTTAGGAGCGTCAAATATTATTGCCCCGGCCTAAGGCACCAATGTCAGTTAGCACAGTACTGTTGAGTGTTGACCACATCATCCTCTTGACTCATTAAAAATAAATATTTAAATATTGGTTAATGTAAGAAAATCAATATATGAAAAATATATTATTTTTTCTTTATTATTCTAGAGATGCAATTTAAGAAATTAGAAAAAAAATATTTTTATTTATAATTTATATGAATTAAACAATCTTTAAGAGAAATGAATAATAAGCTTGTTACAGGCATGAAAAGGATTGATTAAAGAGCTACATATTACCAACACTTAACTTGTTTTTTTCATCTATTTTTTCTTTATTTTACATTTTATTACCTTTTTTTTAAATTAAAATTTGTTTTATAATATTTTAATGTTATAAGGTTACCTATTACTATTTTTTTAATATGTTAGTTTTAATACTCATTTATGATTTATTTATGTTTTAGGTTTTTTCCATTGTTCATTTTATTGGTTGGAATATTTGCTCCACTTAGTTCAGGCATAGTTAGCAGTGCTACCATAGCGTTTGTCTATAGAGCATCTAGTATTCAAATGCAACCATTGTATGCAATGTTTTGGGGAGTTGGACAGACACTACTCTCAGCAGCTGTAGGTTTTACAAGAATATTAGCTACATTATAGAAAAATTGAAACATAATTTGTACATACCTTATATATTTGTACATAATATAATATAAATTATTGTATATTTGTGTGGTATCTATTAATAAATACAAATTGTGATACAACAAAATTGTACATATTTATTTTTAAGAAAACAAATAGAATGTTGAAAGTAATATACATATTTGCTTTTATGCTTTTGTAACTATATTAGTAGCAATATCAGTTTCAGTTATTAAATTAAAAGAAAAATCACACGCTTATCTTGTAAATAGATCATTTAGGTCACTGTAGACAATGTGTTCCAATTAAATTACAAATTAAATAAATTGAACAGAAAATGATTTTAAATTGATTTCCTGGTAACTCACAGAAAAATAATAACAAATATAGTATCTTAAACATCTTTCAATCATCTAAATTATTTTTTCCAAACATAATTCATTCAATGATACTGTGCCCTAACTGCAATTGATTACTTTTGAAATGTTGTTTCATAATCATAATAAATTATGATTAGAAAAAGTTATGCGAATAACACATTAATGTGATAATTAATCAAATTCAAATTTAATATAAAGATTGAATACTGCATGTCCCGAATTCTGGAATACAAATTCCAGCAATTAGGTAGAAAAACTTTAGTGGAGTCTTTATGGCTCATATTTTAGTAAACATCAAACAAATAAAACTTTAGGTGTGTCCTTAGCCCATAAGCTATATGACTGATATCTCTAAGAACAATTTTAAATTTTCACAAAATCGGTCAAGTAGTTTTTGAGTAGGTACTTATATAAGCTACAAACAAACAAACAATCAACAGTTATATTTGATTTAAGATATAGCCATTTAGGTATAATATAGGTAACTCGAGATTATAAATACGACGATTTGATATTTTGATGTATGCTTTTACCTCATCTGCCCGAGTTAATAGCAGCCATATTTTATATAGGTACAAAAATATTAATATCCACTCATTATTTTTAGTATTAATATTATAACCTGTAAGATATAACCAACTGCAACCATTTTTCTTTCAATAAAACTTATTCGAACTATTACGAACATAAAAAATCAAAATTGAGCCAAATTGGTCAGGCTGTTCTCAATTGATGCGATTACCAACGAAGAGCATTTCATTTTTATTTAAGTATAGATAAAAATGTAAAAACATATTTTAATTTATTTATTTTGTAATTAAGTATAAAAATTTGCAAATAATTCTGGTTACCTACTATAGTGTTCATGAAACTGAACAAAGAGAAAAAAAAATAAAGAATCATTGGTAAGAAATAAGAATACAAATAACAATAGTAGGTTTTCCGTAATAATAAATATTGTAAAGAAATATGTAAAAAGTACTCATTGTTTGCGTATAATTTAATAATATATTATTTTACGGCTCTTTTTTTTCGACAATTCGTGTTTTTTTTAACGACTTTTCCTTTGTTACAGTGGTTTTTTTCATATCAGCTTTCGATGAAAATAATTTATCCTTCATAATTGTCTTGACGTTTACGTTGGACTTGTCGATGGTTAATTTATCCGAAACAGCGGTAGAATTTTTTTTTTTTGTGTTCACGCCGATTATAATTCTCTCGCCGTTTTTCTTCGCCGGGGCGTTTTTAACGTTAACCACCGGCCCTCGAGATTTCGCATTAAGTCCTTTGCTAGGATTTTTCTTTTTTGACGACTTTTTTTCCTGAGAAGCTGGCTCTTGCGTCTGTTCGGTGGTTGTCTGTACGGCAGTCACTGCAACCCGTTTGAACGAATCGTAGTCGAATATCTTGCAGCTGTCGCCCGTACAAAATTCGATTCCGCATTCTTTGCACGACAAAAACTTGGACTCCACTCCTCCTGAGGCGTTTTTCTTTTTTCGCAGAAAACTATCACGTGGCGTCTTTTTCTCCGCGTTCCTGGTCTTAAGAGTAGCTGTGCCAAGTTCGACTTGTCTAAAGTATAAAAATAACATTTTTAAATTTTAAACAAATTTCACAATAAATTTGTAGGTACTATTCTAAATTATTACCTATAATTACCTAATTACCAAATTTCAATATATATTATATGTCTATGCGACGCCTATAGTTGATAATAATTAAGTATAGTTTATTTACTAATATTTTACGAAATACGTAATGGTAATTATATAACCACGATTTAATGTAAAAGCGCCACGAAAATACATTTATACATAACCCTTTAGATTTGTTATTATTCATCAGTTCATCACGTTTCTTCTAAAGTAAATTGATACCTTTAAAAGTATGCTTACTAAAAAAAAAGTTTCTGAGACTTGTAATTTAATATTTTTGTTTAAAACTACGTATTAGACTTTTTTACTGTGGTAAGATTTAAATGTAAATGAAACTGTTGAATTATCTTAAGGCTACCTACCCTCAAATAGATGTTTTATTATGAACATTAAAAAAGTGATCATATAAAATGATTAAAATGTATTACCTATTTTTATAATAGGTAATTTTTATACTATTCATCATGGTAAAATGCAAATTGTGTACATTTTTTTTAAAACGTTACCTCGAAAAATATTCTTCATCGATTTTTGATTTTGGGCGAAGAGAAGTAAGCATTTTCCATGGGATATTTACCGAGTACAGCTCGTCTAATGATACTCCTTTCATTTCTGACGGCGTTGGTTCGGCAAATGGGAATGATTTTTTACTTTCTTTCTTAGGCAGTTTAAATTTGAATTTTTTTTCTCTTATCTTAATATCACCCAGTTTCTAAAACAAATCGACAACAATTTCGTAATAACTTAATCAATAAATTAATTTGACAATATTTTGTAGTTTTAAACATATTATATTATAGCATATTAAATTATAAGTAGGTAACTCTAGGTATTTCAAAAATAAAACTGAATACCTATTCAGTACTTTTTGATAAATATTTTATTATACAGGTTACTTAAAATATAGCTGGAAATCTGGAATTAATATGTATTTGATTAGGTAGGTATGCCAATAGGCGATTGTGCAATATAGAAATAGACTGTAGGTAGGTACATTATTAAATTATTGCTCAATATAGGTAATTTTATTATAAACATGTGATTATTATTTTTTAATATCTATTTCTATAAGATCGATATTAAAAGAGAAATTTATTATAAGATCAAAAAAATACAGGTGGTATGGTTGCTAACCTATTTGTATTTTTAACCTCATAATTTAAAATTAATATATAATTCTTTTGAGTTTCAAAGATTTTTTTCATTTATTAATAATTCCACTTATGGCTTACCTATATGATATATATTATAATATCAATGAATAATGATATTATGACATATATGACATGTATTGATATTAATATATTATAGTAGTATACGTAAGCTTTAAATTTGGTAGTGATTAAAAATTACTTTTTCTGGTTTTATCTTGAACTCTGGCACTTTTTCGACAAGTTTTCTTAATTCTTCCTTTGAATTGGCAGTACAATTATGTAAATCCAATAGTGTAGTTTGTTCTTTCTTTTTAGCAAGAAACTCTTCAATTTGTGAAGCCATTTTCTTGTAATTGTTTCAATAAGATCCATAAATGTCATCATTTCTCAAGCATCACGTATTAATTAATCTGTTAACAAATAAAAATATGAATAAATTAGTATATACAGGTACTTATCAAACCGATCATCATAAAAATACTTAAATAATTTACGAATAACAAATTTATAATTTGTGTTAGGTAGTTAGGTAGGTATTAAATATAATATTACATATCGCGTATGGGTGGCTTTTTAAAATTAAGACTCTACATTTGTACCTATATAATGTAGGCACAGCATTACCCATAAAATTTCTTTGGATTCAAATTTATATATTGTTTTGATTACTGTTTATGAGTTATTATAATATTACATAAACCTATACAATAATAGTTTAATCAAGTAGGTATAATAACACCACAGGACTAAAATATATACCTGCAACATACATAAGTGTGTTCCATAAGTCTTATATAGCAATATTTTTTCTAATATTAAATAAAAAATATGCAAATAGTCTCATGAACTAAAAACAACAATAGGTACGTAATAACATCAAAACCAAAAAAACATATTTTCGTACATGAACCTAGAAAGTACAATTTATTTATTTTGTTTAAAATATTTTGTAGCTAATACTTTTAACTTAAATAATGTTTTTTTGTATCAGAAATGTATAAATCGTTTTAATTTTTTTAAATGAATTGTAATTAATATAAATTGTCAGTAATATAATATAACCTATAGGACCCAATAGAGCCAGAAAAAAAAAGTAATAACCGTATTCTTATTGATATATTATTTAGTTTAAGGTTAAATGGTTAAATCTTTGTAAACATATTATATATATGTTACATATATATATATATAAATATATATATATTATATATGTATATAATTATCATTAAATAATAATTACATTATATGGATCTATTAGCTATATGCAATATAACCCCATAAATGATAAAAAAAAAATAATAATTTATGATAGGTACCTATAAAACATTTTGGCCTTCAAGTATTTTTATGATTTTGTTCGATTACAAACTAAATTTTCTTAAATAACTAATTAATAAATATAATATTTTACACATTTAATTTTTTTCAAACCTTATAACACTAATATCTATTTATTTTACAATTATTATAGATAATAATATATATATGTACTTTATAGTTATGGTATAATAATATTTTAATATAATATAATTCAATAATTATAATTAATATAGGTACTGGTACTTATTATGTAATGTTAAAAACGTTAAATTTTGTTTCGTAGCTACATTTTAAAACTTTAACCAATTTTATAAATACGTTTCTGTGGTAAATTTCCTATACCTACTTTTCATTTTAACCTTTACCTAACCTTAAAATTTCACAATATTTCATGCTTTTGCTATAGAAGTTTATAATATAATGTATAAGTCGTATTTATATATTTATAAATGTAATAATCGTTATTTACAATATTATCTACACATGCCTATATAATTTAGATACTTAGTTAAAAAATAACAACCGGAGGTTGTAAATTTTAGAAGTTTAATAATAATGTCTAATTTATTATAGTACTATCTTTTAACATAGCAAAATATATACCTAGTACTTATAAGCAATTCAACAAAATTAAATGTTTTAACAAGAAAAAAAAATGTTATTGAAAAAAAAAATTTCAGGTTTTTACTTTTAAGTTAAGTAGTTTTCTAGTTCTATAGTTAGGTACCTTTGACACCTTCTTTCATACGTTTTATTTGAAAATGTTGAAACTGTAGAGAAAAATATGTATGGCAAACAATTTTCTTATGAAAATAATGTTATTAATATTCGTTGGTGTTTAAAGTTAGTTTGTCGGTTATGTTTTTTCTACTGTTGTCTGTAGTAGTTCCTAGTCCTAATATTGAGGTAATATTAATGATTCATAAATTTAATATTAAATAATCATGAAGAATCCGATGACGGTGATTCGTCAGCAATAACACTTTTCCAATGTTTTCGTTTGGTTTCCAGTACCTATATGCAAACAAAAAAAAAAAAAAATGATTGTTAACAAATTAATAAGCTACCTACTACTATATGGCTTTAAGGTTTCTCGCGCACAACCAACTGTATAATAGCTATATCTAATAATACAATTATTATATTTTATATATTAAAATATATAATAACGTTTTTCGTTGAATAAAAATAAAGAGGTACTGCAGACTGCAGTTAATGCTTTTCGTGTGACTATAATTAATGAAAATATATTATATAATAATTATCGGCGGTATTTTTAAATCCAAACACTGTTTACAGTACTTTACACATTATAGCGATCGATAAGCTTATAATATTATTATTTATTCAAATGTTCTATACTATAATAATTACAAAGTATTTATTTATTCTTATGGATTATAATATAATATTGTACTCTTACTTTTCGTAACGATGATAATTGGTATAACACATCACTAACCGATATGCTTTCTGACAACGAAGGAGTTTTATTTGGAACACTATTACTGTTTTTCATTTCTGCAACATTTTACAATAATGTGACTTGTATTTTAATGCAAAATACCTAATTCGAATAATAAGTAGGTGCCACTTTCCACACAACACACCTGCAAAATTTGGACGGCCGTATGCAAACGTCTTTTTTGAATAATTGTCCGGATACGTAAAGCTACATTTAAATATACATGACCACATGAACACACATACCTATATAATGGCCTAATACATTTTACCATTTCATAGTAATTTTAAATTTTTTTACCCGGCTCGTCCGTTTATGTTTGGTGATTGGCTTTTCGCTGAATTTGCATTACTTATACGTCTGGTCCATGGCGACTTTTGTCTCAGTTTCAACTGGTAATTCGGATCTTTGGCACTTTGCTTGATATACTGTACTTCTGGTCTGTTCACTCCCCACTTAGGCCTTTGGTCCAAATCTAATGATTTTTGATATACACTACTAACCGAAGTTTTCGTGGGTTTTCTGAAACAAAAATAATTTTCTAAGACTTGCAAGTCTAAGAACAGCGTTTTTCTTTAATTTATATTTTATAATTACTTTACAATATCGGTTTGGATTGCAATACTAGTGGTCTGACTCCGAAATTTGCTCGGCGTCAACAATTTTTGGCGGTTTAGTGGAGAGAGTGAAGTTTGAAGTGTCACGTCTACATCCGGCAACTTAGGCGTCTCTTTAATCTCTACTGGACTCGGTACGTTTGATTGCGCCTTGGGTTCTAGGCAAACTTTAGGCTCTAACTTAGGTTCACTGCAGTTACTAATTACCACTACAGGTTCTATGGAAATTTGTTCTTTGATTTCTTCCTGATTTTGTCGTTTTTTTTGCATGTGTTTGGATTTGTCCTCTTTTGCTTGTTTTTGTGCATTCTCCAAAACTTCTTGCATCGCTTTTGCTTTGCGTTCGTCACACAACTGTTTAAATACAATATGCTCATTAAAAAATATTTTATCACTCATGAGTCTTGATGATAGTTTTACATAATATAAATCGATGACTTACTTCTTTTTCCCTTTGTCGTCTCAACTCGTCTTCTAGCCGTTTCTTTTCAATTTCTTGTTGCCTTTGTATGCGTCGTTCTTCAACTAAATCGTCCTGTTTTTTCTTTTCGAGTTCTTCTTTTTTTTTTAATTGTCTTTCTTTTAACTATGGTGAGAATACAGTAATAGATTATCACTACAAATTATTAACTCTGGGCAAGTTCACCTGTTGTTTTATAGCTTCTTGAAGTTCCATTGCTTTTTGCCGTTTTACTTCTCTAGCAGCTAATTCTTCAGTGGTCAGTGGAATATTTTGCCCTAGTAAGTAAGTCCTATGCATTCACATGACAAACAAATATAAACCATTTAATTTTAAAATGTATTATATACCGCATATTTTTATTGATATTAAGAGAATAAATAAACATATTCGTCGCACCTATATTTGTTTAATATTTTAGTATAGGCTATCAAATATCTAGCTATGTAGTAATAATATTATAATATACATTTTACCTGTTATAAACGTTGTTTGAATCTAATGAATTTAAAGTGTCACAGCTACCTCCAAAATCTGAAGCTTTATGAGTGTCTTGGAATTGTATTTTTCCAATTTCGTTTGTTGCAGAACTATTTAAATTTAGATTATACCCAATATATATTTACTCTTCATAAATATATTGTACGTCTTCACTTCCGAGTTATTACAATCTACCTACTCATTACTTACGGTTTTTCTGATAAATTTTCTACCCAAGCTGGTGTCTCATTTCTTTCATTGGTTAAATATTTTCTCTCATTTGAATTGAAGTTTGAAGGATTTAATCCACTATTATATTGCTTATCCCACTTTTGTCTTTCTAGTGTCCCTCCTCCTTCATTAGTATTGTTTTCTTTCGATATTGTGTACGTTCGATTTAATCTTTTATTTTAATGTAAAACGTCTATTAATTAAAAATACAAAATTGTTTTTACACTGTAGGTAAATTATTTTTTACTTACATAGTATGAGTGCTTTTTGGTTTAGAATCATCCATTGCTCCAGTATCAATGTTTAGATCTTTTTCGATTTTATTAATGTAGGTATTCTATACATATTATTTAAATAAACAATGTTAAGTGTTAATAGTGTTAGGTACACAATGAAAAATAAATTATAATGAACATTTAAAAATGTATTAAATCTAATGTCACACAAATTACTTAAAGTGAATTATCTTACATTTTGTATGTTTTGTTTTTGATTATCTTGAGATATTGGAGGAAAACTTAAATTTTTTTGTGTTTGTAAATCTTTGTATGTGGCTAGACGATCAATGTCATTTGAACGTATTCCCGGATAACTAACATGATCCCTGTAATGGCAAATAAAAATAATATTTAGTAAGATGCCATGATCACAAATTGTTTTATTAGAAATTGGAATACCTCTGATCATTGAAAACAATTGGAGTGTTTTGATTTCTCCAGTAATTGTTTAATTTTACCAGCTCTTCTAAAAAATGTGGTTGTAAATAAAAA